GCAGTGGTGCAATCTTGGCTCACTGCAAGCTCCACCTCCTGGGTTCAGACAGTTCCCTGCCTTAGCCTCCTGAGCAGCTGGGATTACAGACACCTGCCACCACGCCTGGCTAATTTTTGTATATTTTTTTTAGTAGAGACAGGGTTTCACCCTCTTGGCCAGGCTGGTCTTGAACTCCTGACCTCATGATCCACTCGCCTCGGCCTCCCAAAGTGCTGGAATTATAGGCATGAGCCATCTCGCCTGGCCTGGCCAAGGTTTTATAGGAACATATTAAGTGAACTGAGTATAAGGCTGCTTTTGACAGGAAGGGCCTATCATCTCTAATTGTTGAGCATCAGCTTATAAAGGGAGACTGAGCCAAAAGCTGTATTACAAGTGGCAACTCCTTAGTTCAGAAGGATATGTGAACTCAAGAGAAACTGTGTTTCTTTGTCTCCCTCCCATTTTGTGCCTAGATACTCCACTATGAGCTACTGGCCATTCGTGATGCCTGCATCAAACTGGAAAAGGACTATCAGCCTGGGATCACTTATATTGTGGTGCAGAAACGCCATCACACCCGCCTTTTTTGTGCTGACAAGAATGAGCGAGTGAGTGAGGGACTGAGGCCTCCCATACCCTCCTTCTGTCTCCCTTACCTTGATAGAGAAGAAGCCCTTGAGATAAAGGCTGGGGATTAAGTCCTTGTCCTATCTAGCCTCCCTGGCCCCTTCCTTCCTCCCAGCTTTTGTGGTCGTTCCTTTACCACTGCCTTCCGTAGTGTCCCCCTCCCCCCTCCTTCCCTTATACTTCCTTTCCCTCCTCCTAGCTCCCTGGCCTAGACCCCATATATAGACCAGCTCCCAGAGAAGGGAAAGGGAACCACCATTTATTGAACTCCTCCTATGTGCCAGATACTGTACAAGGCATCTTCCTCACAGCAACCCTGTGAGGTAGGTATTATCTCCAATTTAGCCTCAGAAAGGTTAAATGACTTGCTAAGATCACACAGCTGATAGGATTTGAACACAGGTCTGTGTGACTTTAGAAGCATATTATTTTAAGATTCAGTACCCTCTAGGAACAGCAACTTTGGCTTTGCTCTTGGGATTTTGGTGAAGTCAAGTAGAATTGAGCCAGGGTCCTGCTTAGAGCCAGGCAGGTCTTGGGATCTTGGTTGTGTTTGTCTCTATACAGATTGGGAAGAGTGGTAACATTCCAGCTGGGACCACAGTGGACACCAACATCACCCACCCATTTGAGTTTGACTTCTATCTGTGCAGCCACGCAGGCATCCAGGTAGCTGGGCTATATCCAGGGGTTCCAGTGAGTCAAAGATGAGTTGTCTATTCTCATTATTTCTAGAATAATATATCAGCCATCACTGAATGACATTCAAATTTGGATTGCTCTCCTTTTTGTTTGTTTGTCTTGTTTTGTTTTGTTTTGAGACAGAGTCTCACTCTGTCCCCCAGGCTGGAGTGCAGTGGCACAATCTCAGCTCACTGCAACCTCTACCTTCTGGGTTTAAGCAGTCCCCCACCTTCCCGGTTCAGCCTTCCAAGTAGCTGGGATTACAAGCATGCACCACCATGCCCAGCTAATTTTTCTGTTTTTAGTAGAGACAGGGTTTCACCATTTTGGCCTCACTGGTCTTGAACTCTTGACCTCAAGTGATCCACCTGCCTCAGCCTCCCAAAGTGCTGGGATTACAGGTGTGAGCCACTGTACCCAGCCAGGATTGCTCTTTTAATTAGCCCTGAGTACACTTGTAAGTTGCCTATAAGAAGAGTGCTTTATGACATTGGTAATTTTATGTCTGCCTGTTCATGGGTGAATCATCTACCTAGCCATATTTTTAATAGTGATCCTGTTCCCCTATTATCAGCCATCTCCTCTGCCCAGCCTGGGACCCCTCACCTTCCTGTCTTCCCAGGGCACCAGCCGACCATCCCATTACTATGTCCTTTGGGATGACAACCGTTTCACAGCAGATGAGCTCCAGATCCTGACATACCAGCTGTGCCACACTTATGTACGATGCACACGCTCTGTCTCTATCCCAGCACCTGCCTACTATGCCCGACTGGTGGCTTTCCGGGCACGATACCACCTGGTGGACAAGGAGCATGACAGGTAAGGCCTGGGATCAGGTTGGCCTCCTTTTTGCTTCAGCCTGTTGTACCAGATCTTGACTTTCCTTGAGTAGAAGGAAATGAGTGCTATGCAATTTCGTGTCATTGGGCTCATCTGGCCAATCCTGGGTTGGGGTTTTCTCTTAAGTTGGTATGGGAATTGGCCTCCCAGGGCTGGGTGAGGGAATTAGCAGCTCAGTTCACCAGGAAGGACTTCTTTCATTTTTTCCTTTTCAGTGGAGAGGGGAGCCACATATCGGGGCAGAGCAATGGGCGGGACCCCCAGGCTCTGGCCAAAGCCGTGCAGGTTCACCAGGATACTCTGCGCACCATGTACTTCGCTTGAAGGCAGAACGCTGTTACCTCACTGGATAGAAGAAAGCTTTCCAAGCCCCAGGAACTGTGCCACCCAAATCCAGAGGAAGCAAGGAGGAGGGAGGTGGGTGGGGTAGGGAAGAGTGTAGGAGGCCTTGTTTCCCTCTATAGAGGTGGTGTAAGAGTGGGGAACAGGGCCAGCAAGACAGACCACCAGCCAGAAATCTCTGATATCAACCTCATGTCCCCCACCCCTCACCCCATCTTGTCACATCTGGCCCTGACCCCACTGGACCAAAAGGGGCAGCACTGGTGCCCACCATACACACAGGTGTCTCATGTGACTCACAGTGCTAAAGACTCATGCTTGACAGCTTGGTAAGGTCGACTCTGTAGCCCTGCAGACAAAAGCTGGTTAGGTTTGGGTTTGATACTTTAGATGGGAAAGTGAGGGGCTTGAGAAAGTGGGTGGGAGGAGGGAAGGATTTTTTAGGAGCCTTAATCAGAAAAGGACTAGATTTGTTTAAGAAGAAAAATGAAACCAGACCCAGATCAATATTTTAGGATACTAGATGTTTTAATGGGTTCAGAATCCAGTTTGTAGGAAGATTTTTTAATGGTTTTGGTTGCTCCTCCCCCAGCTGCCACTCCCTTTCCCCTTATTCCTTTCTGTCCACATTTTCTACCCCACCTTACTTCTCCTCCCTGACAGACATCCAATGCCCCTAATAATACTTAAGGCACTATGGCACTTAGCTTTGAAGTGACACGACCCTGTCTTCCTTCCGCCCGCTGGTGGGTAACCAGTGCCTTCCCTGTAACGGTAATGCTGCAGAACTGCAACCTTTTGTACCTTTCTTTGGGGAATGGGGTGGGGGTGGGAGAGGAGGTAGATGGGGAAGAAATACCCCAGACCCAACAAACCTCCAGCCAGAAAGCCAGCTATTTTGCATTTGAAGGAATTGACTTCCTCATTCATTGAGCTTTTTAAAAGATCACAACCTCAAGATGGTTAAAATCCATTGACATTTGCACTTTCAAACATGACAAGTCTCGGAGCTGCTGAGATGACTGGCCCCTGGCCTTTCCACTTATGCCTCCTTTTCTCCTTGTTCCTCCTACCTCCCACCCCGCCCAGGTCTGGAGTTACTTTCATAGCATTTTTCACTGTTGGCTTTTTTTCTCCCCTGATGGTCAAGTATCTTATGTTTCAATATTTCTTAACTGGGGTGTCTTATAACAAAAAACTCTTAGGTCTAAAATGAGAAAAAAGAGAGAAAACAAAATGTTATTTTTATACCATAACTTGAGTCTATTGCCAAAATTTGGAAATCCTTCCCATGCCTGATGAATTTATATCCCGGAAACATTGAGCCATCAGAAGGAACTGTGTACCTGATTTGTCCTCTGACCTGGCTAGGTAGGGGGTGGTTATTGCCCCAAGATGGGGTCCAGGCTCCATCCTTCCTCTGTGCAGATAATACCTTTTTCTTGCTATAGCCTCCCTCCTCTGCACTGTCTTGCACTCTTACTTGCAAGTGCATCTTTTTCCTTCCTCTGGACTGTCCTCTGACCTTTTGGCCCATCCTAGATTCCAGTGTGTCTTGTGGACAGGCTGGGGAATTTTGCTGCTCCCTATTGCTTCTGTTTACACAAATGAATTTTTCCTGGTTCCCCACTAGGGCATGTGAGTGAGTGGCATGGGCTTTTTTGTTTGTTTGTTTTTGTTTTTTGTCTTCAGACATGGGGTTTGGCTGTCTTGCAGGACTGGAGAAGAAGGTGGTTCTAGCTTGGTCTCTGCTGGCCTTGAAGCAAGCCCCCTCTCCCCGCCTTTTTCCTTGACTGTTCATTTTTTTTCCTGCCCCACTGCTTGGGATGGGGAGTTGCACCTTCAGTGTGGAATTTCCTCTGTTTGAGGAGGCTGGGCTTGGATCTATCTTGATCTGGCGATGAAGCCATGATTACTTTAGACCTAGCCCAGGCTTGGAGGCCAGCTGGAGGAAGGAGGATCTAAATCCTGGCCTATAGAGTTAGAACTACCGTTTCCTCTCCTCAGCGGCCCTGCTATGACCCGGATTTGCTATGCAAAACAATCTATCCCAGGTTCTGTTCTGGTTGGCTACATTGTTCAGCAACTCAAAAAACGTAGCACAAACATTCATTATGGAGAAAGCATCAGGACTGTTGAGTAACTCCTCCTTTACTTTTTTCCTGCTGGCTACAGCATGGGGTGCCCTATGGGCACAAGCCCAGCTGAAGAACAGAATGGAGGGCTCTGGGAGGAGACAACTCACTGGAGAGCCTACATTCCTTACACAAGTGCCTAAAGAGAGTGATGCTAACACTCCATCTGCCCTGTCCATTGCCTTCATATATAGTCTACTTCGTGTTCTGTCACCCTTTGAAGAGGGGAGCTCTCCTGGGACAATGGGCTCTGCATGTTCTCTTCTTGGGTACATTTTGGGGCTAGGATCAGGGCACTATTCCTGGAGGGTCCAGCCATTCACCAGCATTTGCAAATGTCCATAGGGAGCAGGTAGCAGCCTCTACTCCCAGCAACAAGTTTGTGTTCTCTCCTTTTCTCTCTTTGCCTCACTCTCTCCAGTTGGTTTCCAGCTGGGGCTTGAAATGCATGTTTAGCCCTTTGGCATTGAATATGCCATTCAAGAAATAAAAAGCAAGAGAAGCAGCTATGGGCAATGACAAGAAAATGACTTCTTACTCTGATTTTTTAAAAAAAATAATTTTTGAGACTTGAAAAATACTCCTGACCTTGAGGATTATTCTTGTTTGAAAGGTGGTGCATGCAGATGGAGAAGTGGTGTTGGCAGCAAGCTTTGGATCATGGATTTGGTTTAAGTGGTGCTTCTTACCCAGTCTTCAAAGAAGTGCTTGGGGGACCCCCAGCCTCATCCTCTTAGACAAGTGTCTTGCTCCCTTTGTACCTTCCTCTCTTTTCCTCGCCTCTCTTTCCCCGGCTTCCTTTCCCTTTTTGCTATTCACTCTGCTTGCTTGCTGGCTGGCCTGCCTGCCTGCCTGCCTGCCTGCCTGCCTGCCTGCCTGCCTACCTATGTGATGATGAAATCTCTGCATGGCTGCAATGACTCCACTGTTAGCTGGCAGGTCAGGCTTAGCTCCTTGACTGCACAAGACCAAGACTCTGTTCCCTAAGCCCAGAGATATCCACCTGGGCTGGACTGCCCTCAAGCTTATGCTAGAGCAGAGCAACTGGCCTGCCCAACTTGTGTGAAATCAGGAGGTTCTGGCATTTTCCACACCTGTCCACTCCTTGGAGCTGGTTTCTCTCATTGCTTTCTCTAGATCTGGTTCTTTTTCTCTACCTGGGCCTACCTTTTCTGAGATTGTCTTAGGGTTGAGCTACTTGGGTATCCTGGGTTTGAGTGTTAGGGGATGGACATAAGGGAAAAAGAGAATGATGAGAAGAGAATGGAGAGAATTTGAATAAAAGGTGGGAAAGGAGAGCACTGTTCTTTGACTGTTTATCCACTCCAGCCTGATCCATTAGGGATTGAGGTGCTACCGAAGGCCTCCAGGAATAAGCCTGGGGCTATTGTTGCTGGGAACTTAGGCTTAGCACAAAGCTGAAGAAAAAGGTACCTAGAAGTTTGAAACTTGCCCAAAAAGCTCCTAATGCCCACCTGCTAGATAGCTTCTCTGTGGCCTCCTATTTAGCTAAGCAGCAATGTTCTTGGATATTTTTCTTTTTCTGTTCAGAATTTTGTGAATAAGGCCAGCATTCAAGATGGGCAGCCAAGGGCACACTGACTGTTAGCTGGCCCATAGGATATCTGTAAGGCTGGTGGGACGATTTTGGACCTGGAATCATGTGTAACAAACAAGGATGGATGTTTCTTCCCCTTCAGGGTAGAAAAGTCATCTCAAACTAGCCAAAAGGCAGTTTTGGAAACTACATTGGGGGAAATTATTTTTATTTATATATGGGGCCTAGGCCAATCCAGGATGGTAGCTAGAATACCTTCCTTCTTAAAATCTGATCATGGCAGGGATATGTAGGGCACTTTTTACTATTTGGCCTTCTAAGCAGATTGGGAAGGAGGTATTTTCTGGTTTTCTCTTTCCCCTGACTTACAGGTCTTGCCTTCTCCCTGGACAGGGAGAGAGGCTGGGTTGGTGCTCTCCCCTTACTCTACTCAACCCTCTGGCTGCTGTTTGGGCGTCCAAGAAAGGGAGGGGAAGGAATGAGCTAAAAACAAAACAGAATGAGGTGGGAAAGGGAGATTTCCTTCTCTACAGAGGAAAATAGGAAACCCTCCAAGAATTGTGCAAGTAAAGACAGTTTGTCGAATGCACTGAGTCCCTTGGTATAGTAGCAATAAGGAAAAATGAAATTACTTCCCTGTGCACACAGTCCAGCCTAATTGGTATGTGATGTTGCACTCAGCAGCCATGTGGTGGGCATGTGTGACGACCTATGGGTTTCACTTTAGTTTCTAAACTTTTTATCCCTCTCAAGTCCAGCTTGGATGGGGAAATGTCTCTGGATCCCCACAGCTGTGTACTTGTTTGCATTTGTTTCCCTTTGAGACTGTGTTTGTGTCCTGCTTTGAGCTGTACCTTGTCCAGTCCATTGTGAAATTACCCCAGCAGTTGTAATGTACAGTTCCTTCTGAAGCAAGCAACAGCAGCAGCAGCAGCACAATTCTGTGTTTTATAAAGACAACAGTGGCTTCTATTTCTAAAGTGCGGTCTTTCTCTTTTTTTTCCTACCAGCAAAACAAACTTTTGGGACTATTACATCTCTGATAGGTTTTAGGTGAGAATAATACTGTAGATTGTTATGCAGGAATACTTCACAGAGCCTTTATTCTTCATTCAACAAAATGCAAAGCACTGTGTCAGCAGTATTATGGGGAGGGCAGGCACAATTCAAAATAAGGAAAATAGTGCCTGTTTCATTAAGGGAATTAAGTTCGGTAGGAGATATGATTAGCCAATTAGTCTCCTGACATAGGAAAAAGAAAATGAGGGACTGGAATCAGGCTACAGCAACTAATACGGAGAGGAAGGGACAGATTTGAGAGACAGGAGACAGAATTAATAGGACTCGATGGCTGGTGGGAGTGAGAAGACAGGAGTAGACGTTAGCTCCCAGGTTTCTCCTTGAGCATAGGAGTGTGTTGGGACATTCTGATAGTCAAGATGGAGGTGGCAGGGGGAGACTGTAGAAGGAAGGTGGGGAGTTTTTTGAAGAAAGATAACGTATAGACTGGGTTTTGAGGTTTTTGTGGACAATAAGGATAAGGTTTCCAATAAACAGGTTGGTGCTCAGGTAAGACTGTAAAACTGCAGTTATAGATATGGGAGTCATATAGATGGTAGTTAAAGCCATTGGCATGAGCGAAATAGCTTTGAAAAAGAGAAGAAAAACATAGTATACAACCTCCTAAGAAACTCAATTTAAAGGATGGGGTGAGGAAGCATATCTTTAGGTGACAGATCACTGGTAGGCAGCTTGTGGGTTTTTTGTTTCTTTGTTTAACCAGTTTATTGAGGTAGGAGAAGAAATCAGAGTAGAAGAAGGTAAGAAATTGTCAGTAGCAGCCAGTGTGTGCATAGATGGACCTAATATTCATCTAGAGGCCAAGTGTTGTGAATTGGCCTGTGGCTATCACCTGGCAGATTCCCTTGGGAAAGAGCCAGCCAGCCCCATGCTGCTTTTCAGCAGCAAGGGTTAGGGAGGTTGGTTGAACTTGAAGGACAGATTGGACATGGAGCAGATTTTGCCCAGTTGAAATAAGATATAAATTTATGACCCTGAGTGAACCAGAAATAAAGTACTTAGCAGGGGGCATGAGAGGATGAGGATTATGGCAAATTTTGCTATAAACTTTAGTTTTAGAAAAGATTGATATTGAAAAGCCTTCAGGATTTGCCTGCTGGTTGCTACTCAAGATAAAAAGACTGGGAGGCCAGGGCCTGCATTGTCTGGTCCTAGAGCTCAAGGTTTTCAGTGAAGGCTTGTCCTAGCACCTCTGGGCATTCCTTTTCAGTATTGGTTGAGTACCCTTCCTTCCGCTCTGTCAATTGGCAAAATATGCTGGAGCACATTCTGAACCTGCAGGTGCCTTAGGTATTTGTTGGGTATCTCTTGGCTTAGCAGACCTCAGAATCTCATGGCAATTAGGATTTGGTGGCTAAAAGAAAGAGTTATAGTGCAAGGAAAAGACTTGTTGAAAGTTCTGAGTCTGGGCAGTCTTTAGGTTGCTATCTACTGCTTGAATTGGGAAGTAATGTTGAATTGGAAAATTAGCTCACCTTTTTTGTTACTAGCTTTGCAGACATTTATTCCTCTGATTATAGGCTGAGAAATGCCTAGGCAGGCTTAGAGAAGGCACACAGAGCATGACAGAAGTACTCCTTCAAAGCTGCTGTGTCAAGAAGGAAGGCTGGAAAAGTGGATTTGCTGGGTAATTAGGTGCATTTAGAAGTTTTCCACTTATGCACAACTGACTTCCCAGTATATCATATCAAGGTTTTTTAGGCCTTTGTGGCTTACCCTACAGGAACAACATACTGTCCTCTTGTTCTGGACTGTAGCACCTTCATCAAAATCCTCTTGGCAATAGTTTTTTTTTTTATTTGGGGTGTTTTTTTTTGACAAAGTATAATAATATTGAGGGACCATTCTAGGGAGCCTTTAGTCCCTCGTCCCCATTTTCCAAAGGCAGGGAACTTTAATCTTAAAAGAGTTGGTGGGAACTTTTAGCCAGGTTTTTTGAAAAGGTCCGTCGGCTATTAATGAGAGTGAGCTGCAAAAGGAGGAGGAGTTTGTTTGGGTACTTTGAAGTACTTAGCTAGGTGTTTTGTACAGTATCTTATATAATTGCATATTTTGACATCTTACAGCATCTTTACATGTGAAATAGTTCATCAGTTATCTTCAATTGCATATTATAAAATTCCGATTAAATTTTTCTTAAATAAGAAAACTATCATTTCACATGACAAGAAATCCTAATTTAATGTGACTCCAAGGTTGGTTAATTCAGTGGCTCAGCGATAACACCAAAGAATCAGTTTCTTGAAATCTTTTTGCTCTGCCATCCTCCATGTGGTTTATCCTCACACTAGTTCAACTCATGGTCCCAATACGGCTACTGTAATCCCAGGAAGGAAATACTGACAGAACAATGTCTAGTGAAAGAGAGACAATTTTTTGTGTCCTTCTAAAGCAAGGAAGTCTTTCCCTGGAAGCTCCAGCAGATCCAGCCTTGTGGCTTTGCTAGAAATGGGTCATCTCACTCCTGTCATTGGCAAAGCAAGTAAGATCATCCGTCATGAGTGGCTTAGATTAATTAGTTATCCTTTTGAGTCAGGTAGACTAGAAAGTCCAGTCATGTCTACTAGCAAGAAAGGAAATAAGGGCTATTGGATAGGCAGCATCTACTCTCAAAGGTACTTCGACTTTTACGGATGAGAAACATGAATCTGAGTGACTTTACCAGGCTCACAGCAAGTTAGAGAGAGCCTTCTGTGTTAGCTGTGTCTGTCCCTACAGCCCATGTTTTATATTGTATCTTGCTAGCGTGTAAAGTAACTTTCTACCTTGTAGAAACTGATGGTCTAGGAAAAGAGATTTGAACTCGGGCTGTGTTGACTCTCATCTTGGCCCATGTGAGCAGATTCTATCCAGTTGCTCTCCTCATCCAGTGATGTTTCTTGTCTAACACAAGAAGCCTAGGAGTAGAAAGCCCTAAGTGGAGTAGAATAACAGTGGTAGCAGGGAGGAAGACTCACACTGTGTGTCCCTGAGCCTGACTTACTGGGCAGGGACTTACCAGCGCTTAAAGTGAGCAACTGGCCACCCTGTCTTTCCTGCATGCACGGAGTGTTTGGTAGCTCATTATGCCTTTCCTTAGTGACCAGTGATATTGATCATCTTTTCATGTGCTTATTTACTATCCCCATATCCTTTGTAAGTTGTTCACATCTTTTACCCATTTTATTTGTTGTTTTTGAGACAGTTGTCTCACTGTCACTGGAGTACAGTGGCATGATCAAGGCTCACTGCAGTTTCTGCCTCTTGGGCTCAAGCAATCCTCCCACCTCAGCGTCCTGAGTAGCTGGGCTTACAGGCACACACCATCGTGCCCAGCTAATTAAAAAAAAAATTTTTTTTTTTTGTAGTGGTTGGGTCTCATTATTATTGCCCAGGCTGGTCTTTCTCAGCCTCAAGCTATCCTCTCACCTTGGCCTCTCAAAGTGCTGGAATTACAGGTACAAGCCACTGGGCCCAGCCTCTTTTACCTGTTTTCAAATTGAGTTTTATTGAGTTGTAAGAGTTCTTTATTAATTTTAGATACAGGTGTTATGTTAGATATATGTTTTACATCTATTTTTCCCAGTCTGTGTCTTGCCTTTTCATTTTGAAGAGCAAAAGTTTAAAATTTTGCTAATTTATTAAAGCTCCATTTGTTGCTTCATTTCTAGTTTATGCTTTTGTATCATATTTTAGGAAATTTTGCACTGGGTATTTGGTGGCTCCCGAGGAGGCTCAACTTTCAGAGGGTGCTGATTTCTCTGCACCTGAGATTTTGTACTATTTCTGTATTTCTTTTTGTTTTCCCCCCAGGACAGAGTCTTGCTCCGTCACCCAGGCTGGAGTGCAGTGGCGTGATCTCAGCTCACTGCAATCTCCACCTCCCGGGTTCAAGTGATTTTCCTGCCTCAGCCTCCTAAGTAGCTGAGATTACAGGCATGCGCCACCACTCCTGGCTAATTTTTGTATTATTAGTAGAGATGGAGTTTTACCATGTTGGCCAGGTTGGCCTCCAAGTCCTGACCTCATGATCCACCCACCCTGGCCTCCCAGAATGCTGGGATTACAGGTGTGAGCCCCCATACCTGGCCGTATGTCTGTATTTTTTTCTTCTGAGAACAACCAGTGTTACCAGGGATGAACACAGAGTTTTAGCTTGTTTTCTGAGTCCCATTCTTGAAGCCCATTTATTTATTCATCTGTCTAGACCCAATCCAACAAATATACTGAATGTTGCTGTGTGCCAGACACTGGCACTGTTCTGGTTACTGGGGAATGGCAGTTAAGATAATACCCAGTGACCCTGCTCTGTACCCTTAAGAACAGACTCAGTTGGGAATGAGTTTTCCAAAAATAGGATGTGCATGTAGTCAGGAGAGAGCCTCATACAGCTTTGCCTTTGGCAGAATCCTTCAAACCTTTGTCTTCCCACTTAATATTACAATTCATGAGCCTTTCACATGCTTTCACTCTAAAGATGCGGGTTCCTGGATAGCAGAAGTAGATAGGAAGGCATCGTTGACATTTACTGAGGTGGGTTGAATCAGAGGGTATAAATTCCACTCCATCAATGTCGAGCCCACCTCAAGGGTTCATCACTGTCACCATGTCTAATGTCTATTCTGGAAGAAGGTGAAGAAGCCTGCCTTTGTTTAGGGAACCAGTTCCAGAATCGGGGGTTGAGGATATAAAAGACCCTTGCACAAGAGTTGGTATTTACCCTGTCAGATGCTGCTACCAAGATTTGGATTGTGTACAGACGAGGATTAAAAATGACTTTTAAGTTGCAGTGTTTCATCTGGTGACATTTAATTTGATATTTTAAAATTGGGGAGGGTATTTTCAGCCACGGGGGTAGGGATGTAAAGGAAGAAAAAAATAAGAATTGGAGTCAGATGTGGGTGTGAGTCCCATCCACTTATTAAGTGTTTAATATAAGTGCTTTAAAATGATAAATAGTAAATACTTCTGTTATTCACTGACATTTGGGGAGGGTTTTCTCTGTGCTTTATGTACATTCCCTAACCTTACAACTGTGTAAGGTCCATGCTATTCTGTCAGTTTTTCAGATGAGAAAATTGAAGCCCAAAGAGATCAAGTGACTGATCCAAAGTCCCACAGTGAGGGGAAGTGAAGATAGAATATTCTTTCTCCTTTTCCTCTTTAAAAAATTATTTTGATTAAAAAAACAAACAAAAAAACTAAACCGTGTTACTGAAGCATAGAGACCTGGGGAGAAATTATGAATCATTCCTCAGCCTGAATAAAACACTGTCATGTTTCATAAGGCAACAAATATTTATTAAGGACCTACTATTTGCCTGACATTCAAGCGGGGCGGGGGACACACAAGTAGTAAATAACAGAGTGGGCAAAGAGCTACCAAGGCAACACAGTAGCAGACTAACAGGTGCCCCACCATAGATGGGTGGTCCGAAAAAGGCATCTCGATCTGTCTTTCGTTGAGACGTAAAACACTGTGGGATGGGGAGTAAGGGGAGGGTGGAGAGGAGAGAAAGGGTTCCTGGCTAAGGGAACCAAAAGCAGAGAAGCTCCAAGTCAGAAAAAAACAGCGCTTGGCCCGTTGGGAGAATTGGAAGCCGACCAGTATCGCTGTAGCACAGGCGGGGCCCATTTACGCCGTGCGTTTTTACCCTGGAAAGGGGTTTTGGTTTTCTAAGTGTGACGAGGCGCTATTAAAGAGTTTTAAACATGGAAATTACTCGATCTGATGTTTGTGTAATGTCCTGTTTATTAGTCATCTTTTCCAAACTATATTATACATTTTTTTCTCCTAAAAATGGTCGTTAAAGCAGCCTAGGACTTAGGTCAATTGCGGTGGTCACTTGACCGTCTGTGAGGAGGCGGCGCGTGTGGGGCGGCCCCCACTGGGCGTGGCGGGGGCTCAGGAAGGAGGGTGGCCCTAACCCAGCGGGCTCGGTTGGGGACCTCCGCGGCAGGCCCGGGTCCTTCACCGGCCGGCTCCAGGTAGGCTGCTCCTCAGGTAAGCCCCGCCGCAAGGTGCGACGTCGCCGCAGGCAGGCGCCGCCCCCACCTCGTGCGGCGCGAGGAGTCCTGCCCCTCCGGGTTGTCTCCGGCCGGCACGGCCCCGCGGAGGACGACCGAGCCCGCCGCGTGTGGCCCGGCTCCCGGACACCTCCCCGGCGTCCTCCGCGCCGGCCGCTCCCGCCCCGACGTCGCTCCGGCACGGCTCGAGGCCCAGAGACGAGGCGAGGACGCCGGGCAAGCCAGGCAGCGGAACTGACGCCGACGGGCTTCCGGGGCGGCCCCGGGCAGGTCCGCGGCGGCGGCCCGCAGTCGTGGAGGAGCGGTGGGAGCGTCGGCGACCGCGGGCGATGCAACTTCCGGACGGGACTCCCCTCTGTCCTCGCCACACGTCTCCCCTTCCTTTCGCCTAGTCCCGTGCTGTCTCCCGTCCGCGACTCTTCCCGCCCAGAGCTTTGGGAGTGCAGTTGCTCAGGGGAAGCCATCGCCGCCCCCGCCTCGGGGCCGAGTGAGTGCCAGTCGCGCCGCCTCGTCCCCCCGGGCCGCCTCCTTGCCCCCAGTGGCGGGCTCCGTTCTCGCTCGAAGCACTCCCCCCAGCTCCATGAATGGAAATCGGCTCCGCAGGTGAGTCAGAGTTGCTGGGCCAGGTAGGGGGTATCACCCAACTACGATCCTCTGAGCATCCCTGCGCCTCCCGCCTGGCCCAGGTGCGCGAGGTGAGCGTCGGGCGGGCATCTCCTGGTCTCCCGACCCTCGGTCTGCTCCCCCACGACCTCCCCGCAGCCCAGTCGCAGTTCCCTGGGGGCCACTGAGTCGGCGAAACTGCGAGGCGGGGAAACTGCTTGGAGGGTTTAAGTTTGGGATTATCTAGGCGATATTACTCTTTACTGGAGTACCCTTCTTCTAGACTCTAGAATGGTTTGCCATTGTCTAGTTGGAGTGCTTGTCCTTTAGCCAGGTTGCGTGCCCCGTAGAGGCTGGGCTGCCAGCCAGCTCCCTTACCTACCTCTTAGGGTAGTTGTGAAGATACACTGAGATAACGGATAACTTCAAATTAAGTTTGAAGGAGGTGTTGGTGTAACGTCAAATTCAATATGGCATTGCTCCCACCCTCAAGTTCTTTTCTGTTGTTGGTGGCAGCGTGGTAGATAGTTTCTGAGGAGCTTGGAAATGTCATAGCAGCCTGGATCACTGCTTATAAGAGGAGGTGGATCTTAAAATTGCTGACAGTATTTTTTTTTTTTTCCATTCTCTATTTTCTAGAGAAGTAGTTGTCATATTCCTGGAAATTTGGAATTTAAGAAAACTGCTTTATCTCCGGGGGGCGGGGGGGAAAGAACAGCAGTCTTGCAGTCTTGAGAGAAAATTGCAACATGGATAATACTTGTCCTTAAAAAAGGAAAAGTACTCTTTATAGTTCTAAAGTAATTAATTCAGGGACAGAAAGTAGGTATTGCATAACGGTTTGCCTAACAAATGATCATGCTTGGCATTTTAAATTTGAAAGTATGCTTCAGACGATCACAAGTTCGTAAATTAATTTTCAAAATATTTGCTGGGCTGTCTTGTTACTAATGGTATCACAAGTTCCTGAATTCCCTATCTCTTTTTGCCAATTTGATATAAGCAAAACTTACGTAAAAGAAATCAGTGACATAACGATAGCTAAGGACTTTGTTGAATAGATTTAGAATCTAAGTGTCGAATGGATGCCAAAAAGCACTCAAACTGGGGAGGTGAGACGGGGAGAGAGCTTAAAATTTTTTTTTTTTTTTTTTTTTTTTTTACAAATTTTGTTACATGAAAGTTTCTCTGATTAATTTCTACCATATTTCTTTTTCATGCTCCATTGTTTCGCCTTCCCCCTTATCATCTTAAAAACAATCTCTCTGGATTGTGAAAAGATTTAGACTCTTACTTGTTGATTTTTGATTTGTGTGTTTCTGAAACTGTCCTGTCCTTTTAAAAAAAATTACCATACTACTTGTTTTACTGTCTAGGAAATGTGATTATTTGGGACCATAGGTGATTTTTGTACATAACTGTCCTGTTGTCAAGTCTGGAAAACAAAGTATGAAAGTCAGACCCTTTATTAGTCATCCTAAAACTTTTAAAGGTATTTCAAAAAAGTTTTTAAAGTTGTTTTTTTTCCTTAGGGTTTTTCATATGATATTGTGACCATATATTTATGGGCAGTATCTTAGAAAACATTTGTAACACCAAACCACCTAGTCAACTGGTGCAACTAGCCAAGTACGGCTCAGGAAATACATTTTACCCGTTTTCTTTTGGGTGTGCCATTGCTGAAATAGATACCCGTTTAGCTATCTTCACATTTGGGGAAGTGCATAGTCAGATTATCAGCCATATGCTTGGGTCTATTGAAAAGTAAAGTTTTTTCTTCAGTACAGTTGATACATGATTGAATATAGTCTAATAGTGAAGATAAGCTGTATTTTGGCTTAAGATTGACATTATCAAAAACAAAATTTCCATTATTCCTGAGACTTAGTATGCTTGGTATGCTTAGTGTAAAGTTGAAAGCGTAGCTGTGCAGCTAAATTTTAAATCCGTAATTTAGGCTGGGCGTGGTGGCTCATGCCTGTAATCCCAGCGCTTTGGGAGGCTGAGGCAGGATGATCGCTTCAGCCTAGCAGTTGGAGACCAGCCTAGGTAACATAGTGAGATCTGTCTCTACAAAAAATAGAAACATTAGCCAAGAATAGTGGCACATGCCTGTAGTCCCAGCTACTTGGGAGGCTGAGGCAGGAGAACGATTGAGCCCAGGAGGTAGAGATTGCAGTGAGCCATCATCATGCCACTGCACTCCAGCCTGGGTGACGGAACAAGACCCTGTCTCAAAAAAAAAAAAAAAAAATGTATAATTTGACGTATATATTTTGATATTAAAATTTTAGTGTAGATGTTCTCAAAAAGTCTGTTGAGTCAGTATTGAATCTTGGCTCTCCAGGTCTGTCGTAAGTTTTTCCTTTGTGTGGAGATTCTCAGAAATCATCTTGTGATAGGATATTTTAAATTCTAGTTGTTCAGTGGATACATAGAAAACTATTAAATTTATTTACATTAGGGAACCTTGAATACAAATACCATATAAGTTAGTATTTGTCTGTTCTTTCATATGAAATATTTTAAATGCTTTTTAAGGATATCTTGTGCAATCTACTGATTTAGTACCATCAGAACTTTGATATAACAGCAACAACAAAAAATCCTGGAGTAATTAGTTAAAAATTAATCAACAGTGTCTATGACTCTTTAGTTAGGGGAACGTCTGATGAAACACCGTTTTCTATGGTCTGATTACTGCTAACCTAAGAGTATAGGTTATGTTTCGTTCAGTTCTAAATAAAGTGGGAATAGGGAGCAGCAGAAATGCTCGATGATATAACTTCTCCTAAGTACTCATTTTTTAGGTCCATAGATTTTCAGATAAAGTTAGACTACGTTTAGGACAGAGGAATTACACTTTATAATGGAAGAAAAACATTTACTTTTATCTTAAATGAATGACATGCAAATTGTTTGATGTTTGATGGAAGTTTTATACAGTCTTGCAAAAGTGTTTCTTTCTTATTTATACTTTTAAATTGGTGTCTGAAAATAATTGTTTTAGAGTTTTGTGTTTATTAATAAAAGTTTTTAAAAAGTTATTTAGAACCAAGTTCTAAAGGATTAAAAGTTTCATATATGGGAAGCTAGAACTAAATCAAGATTGGGATTTGAATCGTGGATAAAAATTATGGGTTAAAAATACCTGCTAAAATATATAATGCCATCAGGGTCCCAATTTAGTATTTAAAACAATCTTCTTTAATAACTTTGGAAAATGTTTTTGTTGTTATAAACTTTTTCACTTGTAGTTCTTTGCCTTGAAGGAAAAAAAATCAAATTACTGCTCTGTCTGTGGGCATACATTTTGAAAGTGATAAAGGCTTTTCTACTGGGTTCTCACTTAAATTTTGGCTTGTACTGCTTTGGAGTGGCCATTAGGACTTAAAAAAAAAAATTGTTGCACTTGATTGTTAGTGGGACTTAAAAAATATGCAAGATTATTTTAATATTTGGTTTACAATTTCTCTTTCAATGAAGGGACTCCTAGGGAAAATAGAAAAGGAAACATGAAATAACTTTTTTCTTCTAAACAAAGACTTAAGGGAAAACCATATAGATAACCTTCAAATATAATTGAGTTATGAAGATATTTAAAAAACTAACCATGATTCTGTCAGCCTCATATAACCATTCTTTACTTTTTTTTTTTTGATACGGAGCGTTGCTCTTGTTGCTCAGGCTGAAATGCAATGGCGCAGTCTTGGCTCAGTGCAGCCTCTGCCTCCTGGGTTCAAGTGATTCTCCTGCCTCCCAAGTAACTGTGATTACAGGCATGCGCCACCACGCCCGGCTAATTTTGTATTTTTAGTAGAGGTGGGGTTTCTCCATGTTGAGTCAGGCTGGTCTCTGAACTCCTGACTTAGGTGATCCCCCTGCCTTGGCCTCCCAAAGTGCTGGGATTACAGGCGTGAACCACTGCGACTGGCCCATTCTTTACATTTTTTAATCCAAATTCTAAACTAATCTGTTTAATTTTTTTTTTATTAAGGAATTGGCAGGGTGTCGGGGCTCACACCTGTAGTCCCAGCACTTTGAGAGGCTGAGGCAGGGGGATCACCTGAGGTCAGGAGCTCAAGACTAGCCTCACCCAACATGGAGAAATCCTGTCTCTACTAAAAATACAAAATTAGCCAGGCAAGGTGGTGAATGCCTGTAATCCCAGCTACTCAGGAGGCGGAGGTTAGGAGAATCACTTGAACTGGGAGATGGAGGTTGGTGTGAGCCGAGATCGTGCCATTGCACTCCAGCCTGAGCAACAAGAGCAAAAGTCTGTCTAAAAAAATAAATAATTTAAAATAAATAAATTTAAGGAATTAAGTTATTTAGGAAAGCCATTAGAATGAAATATATGAAAAGATATCTAGATGCTACTTCATCTTGCTTGTTTTGAGAATTGTATGTAATAAGTTGGTAATTTAGAATTAATTTATATTAGTTTATATCTTCCGATGGGAACATTGCATTTTTTAGTTCTGCAAGTCTGGCCTGACAGTATGCAAAGACGCCTGGGGCCCTGAAAAGGGGACATTTCCTGGAAGAATTCTCTGTTGTATATGGAAAAACCCTGGCTTAGAGTAGAGTTCTTTGCCAGATTGTTTAAACTGATGGATTCCAGTTGAATACCATTTTGCTTTATAATATAGCCATCTAGTTTCACATTGGTTTATATATTCTTAAAATACTTGAGGGTCTACCTGAAAGATGAATTAAAATATTGTTAATTAGCAAAACATATTATCTTACAGTACTTGAAGCTAGAATCTTAAAAAGTAATTTATAAGTTTTTGTTGTTGCTAATGTATAGGGGAGAAAAGGCCAAAATGATAATTCTGTTTTCAGGAAGGTAAAACTAAAAAGATAGTTTATTTAAGATCAGTATCCTTTCCAGACCTGGTTAGTCTCAAACTGCTGAGATGTACAGCATTCACCAGACATTCCTACTTTCTAATTCAGTTGTCTTGGATACTCAATAGACCCTCATTCTTGGCTCA